TGTGAGGAGGTTTTGTGAGGGGCCTGGGGAGGTTGTGAGAGGGGGTCTGTGAGGGGGCTGGGGGAGGTCGTGGCGGGGTCTGTGAGGGTGCTTGAGTTGTGTGTGTGTATGAGTGTGTTAGAGGGCCAGAGTGGGGTGGGAACCGAGCGGTGGGCGCAAAATGGAGGTGGCACCTGGGAAGTGGGCCCTGTGGGTGCCGGCTGCTGCTGGGGCGTCAGGTACCCCCGTGTGCTGTCCCGGAGAGCCGGCAGTGCGCTGAGGAGATACTTCGTGCTGAAACCCCCCAACTACTGGCTCTTAACCGGGTTCCCTCTTTTCCCTTGCCAAGGCTGTAAGGTCTGGTCTGTAGCCAGCTGTTGGCGGCTTGCATTGTTTCACCTGTGTTCTTAAGGTGAACTGCGTTATTTCCCTGATAAATGGGAAAATCAGGCTTAGGCTGAGAGTCCTCTGGGCTAATCTAGCACTAAAGCGTAAGTCTGGAGGCCCGTACAGCTCCAAAGGCAGTATTCTAGCACTTGCTCTTGTTGCTGTTATCAGAAAAAAATAATCTATTTGTAGGTAGAGATGGAAGTTTTAATTCATTTCCTACCTATTTGTTTTTAAATTAAGGGAAGTTTTAAATTAGGACACTTTTTGTAAATACACAATGTGAGCAGGAGATAAGGGAAAACGGGCCTGGGCTGACTGTACTAGGTAGATAGTAACTATGTTTGCCGGTGTGCCGTGCAAACACCACACTCCAAGGTGAAGACTAAGCAGTTGGGCAAAATTAGATGTAAAAAATAAGAAAGGTTGCATGTTGGAAATCCTTATCTGCAGAGTGAAGCACTGTGTGCAAACACCGATTTAGTTTTAAGCAGCTATGTGAGTGGGGGTATCGCTGAACACTCAGTTGATTTTAAGGGTTGAGAGTCTCTTCAGGTCTCACTGTATGAATGCTCTCATCTGCAGCAGACCGGTGCATTAGGTTGTAGGATATGTTATGATAGCCTAAAATTCTTATTTTTACTCTTCTGAAGGAACGCCTATTACCAGTGCATCGTATTTTGCCACAATGACGCTCGACCAAGTGAGGCACGTGTTTCGCTCTGACACCGAAGTGCCCATACCTTTGCTTGAAGAGAGACATCGGGTGCTGAATGAAAGCGGAACAGTTCTGTTAGAGAAGTTTGGAGGCTCTTTCCTCACCTGTGTTAAAATGAGTGAGAGAAGTGCTCAGAAACTACTACGCCTGGTACTGGAAAACTTTCCTTCTTACAGAGATGAAGCTGTATTTGAGGTAAGCTAGTTCTAACGCCGAATTTCTTGTGGTAAGAATTTACTCCTTACTGATTGGGACTTAAAAAAATATAGCTCTTAGGTTGTCTATGTCAATTTTTCTGAGAGGGTAGTCAGTTCAGAATTGATCTGTTAGTGAATTGTTGGAGTTTTTAGTCCAGGAAATGGAAGGTAAACAGAAATGTTTCTGTGGAACTCAAGTGTCTTCAAAAGTAAAATTCAAGGAAGGTAAGAAGAAAAGCTACTATTATTTTATTATTTTTGCCTCGACTCAGTAAAGATATTGGTCTGTATAATGAAAGGAAAATCAGACTTTGAAGCAGTTGATCTTAATTATGTAAATTACAATGAGTCATACAGGTAGGGAAGAAGGTTCTTTTAAATAATTCTTGTGGACCACAGTACACTGCTTTGTTAAGCTAGAGTAAAATTACTCAGATTTCATTTCTCTATCAGTCTAAGCCTCCAAAAACAAAATCATGCAATTTATGAACAGTAAAAGAATCTTGATTGTCTTAAGTCCTTAACTAATCCGGAATGTATTTCTAATTACGAAACACTTTTTCCCCCCCCAGAGGAGAGCCTTTTTTTTTCATATGCTGTCCCTGTCTTCATCACTTTGTTGTAATTTATTTTGATATACTCCAGGCTCCCAATTAGATCATGATGCCTTTATATTCCTTACAAATGCGTAATATTTGAGAGAATTTCTGCCTGAAAAAATTTTTTTTTTTTTTTCATTAGTTGCTACCAACCCCCCTTCCCCATCTCTCCTTTGGCTTTTACTTTGAGGATCTCCACAGCTAATGAGGGAAACAGAACTCCAGTAGAGTTGTGAAAATGTACAACTACTGGGAATCCACACTGTAACTATTTTTGATTCAGCAGGCATTGCAGAAATGACTACAGGCCAGAAATAATCCATGTTACATTGTCAGGTTGACAGTATGCTGAAGATTTTTTGAGCCATTTTCCCGAAAGAAACTGATGGAAAGTAAACAGAGACTGTATGTCATTTCCTGTATCTCTGGTTTTGCCTATGCAGGCATGACCTTTATTTAGCGTCAGTGACGTATGTGGCTGCTCCTGTGCTCAGTTCCAGCTGCAGTAGTATTCAGCTGTTATATCGTTATGTCCAAAAGAATTTTGGACAGGTGACAGTGCAGCCTGTACTTACAGTCTGTGCAGTCTTATCACTTAAATTCTGCGCCTCAGTAGGCTGCATGATTTTATTTTTCTTTGTCTCCTGCTATGAAGTAACATACATTTACATGAGAAATCAGGTTCTTTCTAACTAATCTTTGAAGCTGCTGGTTTAATTTATTGGGATTTTTTACATATAAAGTAATTTTTTGATTATTTTGGTGATCAAAAAGGAAATATTTTCCAAGTAAAGTGATAAATAGAATATTTTCTTATCTTTGTAGTGACTATATTCATTGACGTAATGTCTTTCATGGGATGATGCTGAATGCTCTATAAAGCAAGCCTCCCTAAAAGCAGCAGCAGACTACAGAGTGAAAAGATGTTCCAAAAATGATCCCAGACCGTAAGCACTGACATAGTAGTAAAGCCTGTTGCATGAATATGGAAGCTGTTTTTCTGCTTTCATTAAGCAAGAAGTGTATTTTGAAGGTGGGTGAAATGATGTAGACCAAGTTTACACCCTACTTGTTAACAAAAAAAAAAAATAATTAAAAAAATCAGTTCTAACACCTAATGCGAGGTGACGTGGGTCACATTATCAACATAATTTCTATGGCAGCACATTGAGCTCTTGCAAGTAAGACTTTGCCTTCAATAAAGAGTTAGGAAGGAACTGAATAGATGGTAAGATGGCCAATAGCAAAGCAGTGCTTTTCAGTAACACTCTGTAGTAGAAAATATATATCATTATACCATAAATTCTACCGTAGAATCATACTGTCACAGACTACTATAGCTCTCCTACACTCTGACCTTCTAATAAAACTTCTAAAATTAACGCAATTCTTTATCTATAGTTTTTCCAACCAGATACACAAAATATTTTTCATAATTGCACATTAGTGAATGTAATTATAGAATTGCCAGTGTTCTTTTTCTTCTGACAAGTGAACTGCAATCCAAACCCAAAATCCCCAAAACCTTTTTGCACTTAGGTAGATAGTTCATGTTCAGGTGCTGTGCTGAATTTGAAACGTCACAGAAGTTCGAATATTAGACTATTTTATACTCACATGTCAGGGTTTCCATATTCTGACACAGACACAGTGAAGTCCTTTCTGAGCTTCAAGTCATTGGCATTTTATTTATATAACCTGAGACTGAGGTTGTAAAATTCTCATCATCCTCCTATTCTTTGCTGTGCTATCACATTTTGTTCTTCACCAATGCAATACTCTTTATTTCTTTTGATATCAATAGGTCATAATTAGTTATGCCTCTTGAGATCGGTGCATTGTAGTGGAGAAGAGACACAAGTGTCCTTATATGTGGTAGCTTTTCCTGGAAAATGAGGCTTTTGCAAGGGAAAAAAGAAGTGTAGCTGTATTGACTTCTGATGAGAGTGTTTGGGCAAATTATACTATCTTTGAGACAAAGTACCATCCAGCTAATGCTTTCCTTGCTTTCTGTGGAAAAGGACGATGGGAAAACTTTGTAGAAGTGCTTTGTAGTCTGTTCCATATTGAGAATTTTACATAAGCTTCAGAAGCTCTGTGCAGCATAAAAATTAACAATAATTGAAAAAAAAAATAAATCTTTAAATTCATCTGCTCAATCGCAAGTTCCAGACAGTATTTTTCTTCCAAATTAAATTGCAGCATGAGATGAAAAGTTCCATTTGAATTCTCCTTTCCTGTGCTCTTGCAAAATGGTGTGGTGCTGGAGACGATCAGTTCTTTACTGTATTGGAGAAATCTTAATGCTACAAAAGAGCAATGTCCTTGGTTTCCGTTAGCTTTGTGGCAGTAGGAGCTATGATGAGATTTGGTCTAATATTTATTTACTTCCTGTTTTCAAGTGGTACTTTATTATTTAACATACAAAACTGTGTATACTCTCTAGAAGTAACTTTGTACATCTGTGTCAACTATAGAATGAAGCACAGGGGAAGGAGGAATTTTCAGGATGTTTACAGAAGTTGTTCTGTGAAACGCAGTTGGACGCTCTTTTCAGTGGTTCCCAGTGACAGGACGAGGGGCAACGGGCACAAGCTGGAACACAGGGAGTTCCATTCAAAGATAAGGAAGAACTTCTTTACAGTGAGGGTGACAGAGCCCTGGAACAGGCTGCCCAGGGAGGTCGTGGAGTCCCCTTCTCTGGAGATCTTCAAGACCCACCTGGATGCAGCCCTGAGTGATGTGCTCTGGGCAATCCTGCTTTGGCAGGGGAGCTGGACTAGATGATCTCTAGAGGTCCCTTCCAACTCCAACAATTCTGTGATTCTGTGATTTGCTCTCAGTGGTTTTTTGGAGAATATTTGGAGAATGCTTTGCTCTCAGGAATAGTTGTAGCATTTTGGCAATAAAGTAAAATTAAATTAGCTTAAAAAATGCCACTTGTGGTGATATGAAGGGTGGCAGAATAAAACCAGAAATAAGTTGAATCCCCGCCTACTTAGCCATTCCAGTTATATATTGTTGTTTAGCACACAATGTCAGAAATAAAAAGTCTTTTCTAGCTATAAGGGGAGAGAAAACCATAATGCACTACTACCTTTTTTCTTTCCACATCTTTTTTTCTTAAAGATGCAGATTTACATTCACAAATTGTGTTCATCGCAGAGTAAAAATGTAAACAGCATACAGATCGTAGCATATCTTTATTTTTTGCCCTTGTGAGTAGTCACAAAAGCAGGATTAGCACCAGCAAAAAAGTTAGTAACAAAAATAGAACCATGAATAGTATCTAAGAAAATTTCATATTTGTTAATACACTTTCTACTGGAATTATTTTTCCTCTCTCCTCTTAAACTAGCAGTTTACGCTGCACAACACAGAGGAGCATTCATTAAAGTTTTCACTGAAGTTTTATTTTCTTAACATTATGGATAAATTGATTAATAAAATGTTTTAATTGTCTCATCCAATATATCCCTTTTAAGCTTCTCTCCTCAAAATAAAAAGTTTGATGAACTCTCGAGTTCTGAAAGAATGCATGTTTGCTGGACTCCAGCTACGGAGTTTGCCAAGTGGAAGTAAACCAACATTAATGTGTTCTGAGAGCCAAGCGGAATTTTTATTCCACTGCAGTGATTTTTACTGTTTTTCTTTTATTTCAATTTACTTATGAGCATTCCTTCTATTCTGTTTTAGTTAACTAACATGTTTGCTTAACCAAATAATAGTTAAACTAACACCAGTCTATCTCTGTGTATGTCATTTGCTGTATTTATTGATGTTTCAGGCACTTAACTAGTTTTTAATTTTATTTCATCAGAAAAAAAAGGTGTCTTTCTACAAACGGGCACAAATACTTGTGGCTGATACATGGAGCGTATTAGAAGGCAAAGGGGATGGCTTTTTTGATGACATTTCTAGTCTGACTATATTTGCTGACTACAGAATTCCTCAAGTTCTTGTTCACTTAAAAGCAATGAAGTATTCTGAAGAACTAATGAAGAAACTACGCGAAGGTTTGTTCCTCCCTTACTGGTATCAAGTAATCTTACCTCTTGACATTGAAGACTAAAGCTGCTTTTAAAATGTAACATTTTGTCCATGTAAGGGTTATGTGTCAGGAAGAAATTTATTCTCTAAGAATGATCTTGAATGAGATCTTAAGGTTACATTTTCATAAAGATCTAACTGTTCCTTGGATTAAACATTGATGAGAGAAGTAGAGACTCTAAGCCAGCTGCTCTCCAAGTTTCTAGGGGCTGCTGTTGCCAAAACACTTTTCAGCATGAGTGTGGTTGTAATTTTTGAGGGTTAGGTAAAAGCAGCAACAATTTCTTCATTAGTTCAAAGATGATGTAAAAGTATGGGGATTCCTCTTTATCTGCACTTAACTGCTAGTGACAAGCAAGGTAATATTATAAGCATCCATTAAAAAAAAAAAAAAAGAAAAGATGACATTAAATGAAATGCTTGAAAACACCTTAAAGTGTGCAAGACTAGAGTCTCATTTTAAAGTATGGTTCTATCTTCCAGTACTTGCCAAATACGAACTTCAGTGAATAATAACACGCAATAATCCCTTTTCCACTGTAAAATGGCTGTGACTAGGACTGCTTTTATGCAACTTTGAAATTACACAGTCATCTGTGAATCTTAATAGCATGGCCCTACATATACTATATATGCCTATATGTATATAAAAATGTATATAAAATAGGTCATGTAGACAGCTTATATTTTCCATGAATCTAATAAGGTCATTCAGACAACTGTATTTGTATTTTTATATATATGTACTTTTTGATTGGTGTTAGCTTGGGTTTGGTTTGGTTTTTTTTTTGTTTAAGTCTTCGAGTAGGGTTATCCTGGCAGAAAACAGACCACCTCAGGATTACTTTTTGCTGTCCTTTCTGTCTCCCCAAGCAGAGAAATAGTCATATAGTGTGCAGTACAACCCAAAACACCTCTTCTTTTTCTTAAACTGCTCTCTTGCACTAGAGGATGCTGTTTTAATTGAATGGGAGGCAAATTTGTAAGGGCGTAGCAACACCGGTTAGCGCTTGTAGCGTTGAGCCATGAGAATGGCAGTGCTAGAATAGATGTGGAGGCGGGGGGGGGAAGTGGAAATTGGGCAACTTCAGGCCATCCTGGAGGCTGACGAGGTGGCAGTCTCTTTGTGTCTCGCAGGGACGGTTTTCCAGTCGGGGGACCGGGAGGAGGTGGAGATCCGCGGCTGTTCCATCTGGTGCTGCGCGCTGATCTGTAAGCACCTGCTGGAGCTCTACGAGAAGAAGGGTCAGGACATGCGGGAGAAGATCAACGCGGTCTTGCTGGATTACTACCTGTGGGACTATGCCAGGGAGCACCGGGCGGAGATGAAGGACATCCCGTTCCACCGCGTGCGGTGCATATATTACTAACCCGCCCGCCCTCCTACTCCTGCTTCGTCTTTGCAACTGTTCTTTTCATGCGGTGTGTTGTCATACGCTTTAATTTTAAACCGGCTGAACCAAAAGCTGTGACGTATTAACAGCTTGCCTTTTTTTTTTTTTTTTTTTTTTTTTTTTTTTTTTTTTTTTTTTTTGTTTTTTTTTCTCGCTGCGACAGGGACGCACGGTGTGAGCTTTGCCGCCCGCCCCCGCCTTGACACCCGCTTTTTCGCTCGCTCCCGCTCTGGTGTCGCCTCGCTGCCCTACCCGTTGATGACGTCAAATAAACAGTGCAGTGACGTACCTCGCACGTCCGTCTCCTCATTGCGCCGCCGTGGGCACAGGGGGACGGGGGGAGCCCTCCCCGCCGCCGGGGGGCGCTGTGGGCGGC